TAAATTGCGCTATTGAAAACATTGCAAAATGACCACTGAATTTGAAGATCATCCAGAATAGGCAGCTTGCCAAGAACAAAGGTAGCTGTGAGCTGCTAATGGGAATGGCTAAATAGAAACAACAGCAATATCTGACAAAACTATATATAGGACAAAAAATAAATATTTTTAAATAAAATTAAATGGAAAGAAAGTATGTGTTAAGTGGTAATCATCTAAACCACCAAGACACTGAAAATATAAACTTAAACAAAAAAATCATTGAGAAAAACAAAAATACCCTGAATTAAAATACCACAAGAAAAAACAGATTACATGCAATGTTAGGAAAACAAGACACAAATTACTGCATTTGCATGGGCAATAAAGTAAATTATAGAATAAATTAAGCAAACAACAAAAGGCAATATTACCATATAAATCAAGAAATATATTAATCTAGTAGAGCAAAAAAGATAGAAGATGCAATGATAAATTCAGAATTTATAAACTCTACCATGATTGGCTGAAAAGGTTGTGATGCAATGTTCATGTGGTTTTCTGATGATTAATTTTCTCGTGTTTGTGTGAATCATTATAGTCATATCTCCACTGTTGATGAAAGTAAAGAAGGAGATAAGCTTAAGAAGCATCTGTGTCTTTTAATAAAATATTGTTTTAAAATGTCATACAGACTAAAGGGCATTAGTATCAACTTATCTAAATATCACTGATCTCTGGAAGCGATTTAGAATTATATGGGTTGCCAGAGACTTTAGTCAGTAGATTAGAATGCAAAGTGTAAAGCAATCTTCAAAAACAAATAAATTTTTACAGTCCTTTATGAAGTGATCCATTTTAACTGCTTCAGAATAAATGAAACGCTGCCAATCAAGTTTGTTCGATAATTTTGTTCTTTATTGATGAGCTGTGCTGCATATTATATTATTTGGTATTCACTAGAAATCACTTATTGAATAGTATAGCACTGTTAATCGGCAATCGGCCCAAAAAGAGACTGATCTGCATATGATAATTTAAAAATATTTTATGCCTGCACTTGAAGCAAGTTTTGAATCCTGTCTGCCAGAATGAAAAACAAGGTTCTTAATCACTAGACTAGAGTAGCACAAACAGTGTATGAAATTTCAGTCTTAATACCAGCACTTTGTGCATCTGCTAATAATTTGTCACCTAATGGTCACACAAAATTTCCTTCAGTCATATACAATAATCAGCCACAACAATAAAACTATTGACAGGTGAAGTGAATAACATTGATTATATCATTACAATGGCACCTCTCAAGAGGTGGGATAGATTAAGCAGCAAGTGAACAATCAGTTACATGTGTTGGAAAAATGAAATGAAAAAAAGGCAAGTGAATGGTTCTGAGTGATTTTGACAAGAACCAACTAGCTAGATAGCTGGGTCAGAGTATCTTCAAAATGCCATAATGGAGTGTTCCCAGAATGTAATGGTTTGTATCTACCAGAAGAAATGCAAGGAAGGAAACTGGTGAACTAGCACGAGGGTCATGGGTACCAAAGACTCATTGATTCATGTAGGAAGAGAAGACAAGCCCATCTGTTCCAAGAGTTACTGTAGCTCAAATTGCTGAAAAACTTAATGCTGGCCATGATAAAAAGTTGTCAGACCATACAGTGCATTGCAGTTGGCTGCATATGGAGTTGCCTAGTTGCAGATTAGTCAGAATGCCCATGATGAGCCTTGCCTACCAGCAAAAGTTCCTTCAATGGGGACGTAAGTGTTAGAACAGGACTATAGAGCAATGAAAGAAGGTTGGCTAGTCTGATGAGTAATAATTTTTTAAAGTTTGGTGGATGGCCTTGTGCGTGAGTATAGTTTACCTGGGGAATAGATGACAGCTGGTTGCACACTGGAAGAAGGCAGGCTGGCAAAGGCAGCGTTATCCTCTGACCCATGTTGTGCTGGGAAATCTTTGGTCCTGGCATTCATGTGGATATTGCTTTGACAAATACCACCTACGGTAAGATTGTTGCAGACCACTTACAACTCTTTGACAGTGATCTATTTCAGCAGGATAATGTACTCTGCCAAACTGCAAAATTTGTACAGGAATAGTTTGAGGAGCATGACAAACAGTTATAAGTGTTGCCTTGGCTTCCAAATTTCCCTCATCTTAATCTGATTTAGCATCTTTGGGAGGTGTTGGAAATCCATGGAGGCCCCACTTTGCAACTTGTTGTACTTAAAGGATGTGTTGCTAATGTTTTGGTGCCAGGCACCACAGGACACGTTCAGGTCTTGTAGAGTCCATGCCTTAATGCATCAGAGCTGTTTTGGCAGTAAAGGGGGAACCTACACAATATTAAGCATTGACTTATTTTTTCCTACATATGTAAGATATTTCTATGTATAATTTTAAACTTTGTAATACTACCATTCAGTAGAGTTATTTTTTTTTTTTTCAGTTATATTCAGTAAAGCTATAGGGACATATTCACTAACATCAGGGGCTACAGATAATTGTAAAAAGGACTGGAACTCTTAGAGTTTCTCCAATTTGCTGTTTTCAGTTAAATAGTTAGTGAATAAATTAAAAACAAAAGTCCAAATGTTTTGATACAATCAAAGCAATGTATCATTATTTAGAACAAACAAACCATGAAAATTATTTGTTCATGTTCTAAATCTGTTTTATTAGAACTATTGTTATTAATTAATGTTTTTTGAATACGTGAATCAATAGAGAGTATAATGATCATAAAATATCTATTTTTTATGTTGGGCATGGTTTATCTTCTTATATTTTGGGTGAAAGCAACTTATTATCCTGATTATGGGGCCAACACTGTAACTTACTAGATCTCAATGTAGTGGTAACAATGTCTGAAGTTCCCTGGCGCTGTCCATCCATTCAGCATTAATCCATTTTTAATGTTGAGTATCTAACCTTTTAAAAAATATATTTATATTCCCTTTACTATTTGTCTTTCCCTTGTTCCAAGGTAAAATATTGCAAAAATCAAGATGCTATGAGTTTTGGGACACTCAATTATCTGATAGTAGACAAGGTCTAGTATTGGTAATGATATATTCAATATGTGACTACTCTTTATTATAGAGAAGGTTGTAATATTTTCAGTAGCTCATGATTTTTAGCTTCTAAGATAGAACCCACAGTAAAAATAAGTGGTGTATAATTTACTAGTTTTCCTAAAATCGCTTAAAAGCATATGAAGCAAGTTGACTAGTTAATAACTAACTGGTTTATAAGGCATTTTGTTATATAAATTGTTCGATACTTGTAAATCAACATTTATATATACATAATATTATCTGATCAAAACCAAATGCAATTACATTTTAGATAATTGTGTTTTTATTTGTCTAAATAAATAGTGCTGTACATATGACTCTTGTAAAATCATTTACAATTCGCTTTTTATCTCTAGATTTTTGTGGACTTATTTTTAAAAACATTTGACAGTAACAAGCTTTGGGGTTTTCATTATTGTGGTAATATATGTGCTCACTAAAGATTTCAAGGAATTTTCTATACTTAAAGTGCATGTTATCATAATTAAGAAAATAGACATTTCCACAAATCTCCAATAACAAATTGTAGTCTATCACGAAAATATTTAAATGTTTGATTTCATTGCTTAGAAAGCAGAGGATTTTTATAGGGGGAAAATTACATCGCTGTGGATATTGTTCCACGAGTAGTACTCCATCAATAAGATATCTAGAATCCTAGTGAGCTCCATTGTAAGGCGAACCTACAGCCAGCTTCCAAAGAGTACACAAACAATGCATTGCCTCATGATAAAGAAATGCAAAAACAAAACTTTACTGCTTCAAAGACGGATGATCAACTTGGAGAAATTTGCAGTTTTGATTGGTATTATACCTTATTATGAGTAAGGTCCAAGAGGTCCAAAAGACACAGGGTTGACTTGCTTTTTGTATGGAGTAAAAATGTTCAATTCTTTCTGAAGTTATTAGTGACAATTATTGTGTTTGATAAGGTTAAAATCTTTAATTCATGGACATACATGCTGGAATAATTGTGATATATATATATATATATATATATATATATATATATATATATATATATATATATAAAATTATATTTTATATATATATATATATATATATATATATATATATATATTAAACAAAATATGTTTATGTAAGAACATCAATTTCTTTATTTTTTTTTAACTAGGGATTAATCCAGCAGTTCCCAAAACAGGGGAGCTAGCAGTGTAGTGCTGACAGCCAGCAGGGGAGGAAGAGAGGACCCAGGGGAGCTCTAACCTGCAGCTCCGCCAGGTTGTCCTCTCGCGAACTCTGGGCGTTGCCGCGGTAACCACGACAATGCTCCAAATCTCGCAAAAGTAAACTCTAGCAGCTCTTGAGGCTGCTAGAGTTCACTCTCACCCCCTGTACCACTAGGGTTCTCCAATGGACCATTAGGAATTAGTACTGTCCCCCATCCCAGGCAAAGGTAAACAGGGTGGGGGGGATATTAAAATAATTATTTTTTTAATTAAAATTAATTTAAAAAACATATTAATTAAAATTAAAAAATTTAAATAAATATTTATCTGCCCTCCTACCCCCACAGACCCACAATGCCCCCCATACACACACACTGCCCCAATACACACACACTGTCCCCCATACACACACACACAAACTGCCCCTCCATACACACAAACAGTACCACTCACACACAGCCCCCACGCACACTATACCACTTACACAACCTGCCCTCACACTGTCAGGCTCCCGCGGGCGGATGCGAGGGGAGGCTGCACTCCGCTCGCAGTACTCACCCTCCAGCCATCCGCGGTCCCCTCCGCCTCGTGGGTACGGCGAGCGGCATCCTTCCAGCCTCGGTTGCCGCCCGCCGTTCCCTCCACGTCCCCCAGCGGCAGCATGCATGACGCTGCACGCTGGGAGACCGCCCAGGTTTATACACGCCGGGGTCAGTCACCTGACCCGGCGTTAAAGGCACAGTGCCTCAATCACAGTGGGAGGTCTAAATATCTCCCACGTGTGATTGTTAATTCTGATTGGAAATTATCCAATCAGAATTAACCTGATGGTTTAAATACTTACCTTTCCTGTTCCTCCCTGCCCTGTTGTGGTCTTTGCTTTCTAGTATTGCTACTTACCTTGTGCTTCTGGTTACGTACTCTCCGGCTAGTTTATCTGACTCTGTGACTTTCTCCTACCCTTTGACCTTGGCTCGTTTCACGTTATTCTGTCTTCTGGTTCCCCTTTACTCGGCTTGTCTCCTGACTATTCTGTGTGTGCTTAGCCCGGCCACTCTAAGGTCCGGTACGGCACCTTTTGTGTGTGTGTGTGTGTGCCAGCGTGTTGGGTTCCTCGAATCGTGACACACACATACTGTACTCCTCATACAAATTGCCCTCACACACACACACACTGTACCCCTCATGCACAAAATGCCTCACATACACTCACACTGCACCCCTCACACACACACAAACTGCATCCCTCACACACATACACACACACACACTACATCCTTCACAAACACAATGCACCCCCGTACATTCACTGCACCCCACACACTGTATCCCTCATGCACAAACTGCCTCACAGACACACACACTGCACCCCTCACAGACATGCACTGCACCCTTCACATGCACACACACACACACACACACACACACAAACACTGCACCCTGCCACACACACACACACACTCCACCACTCACACACTCACACACACACACACACACATTTCTCCCCCCAGCACAAACATATTGCACCCCTCAGACACACTACTGCCCCTATCCCCTACTACAGCCCCCAGCAGATTCCAGGTAGGTTGTCAAACTGTTATTAAATGGTTTGACTACTTACCCTGGGAGGGCACTACTGGCACCATAAACACTACAAAGTGCTGTAGTGATTATTGTGCCTGGATTGTTTCTTTAAATAATGTACCAGTGCCCCTCCTGAGATTAGGTTCCGAATCTTCGCTTGAACAGCAAGCATTTCTGCCAAACAGGAGCCCAGGGTATGCCGCTGTACTGTTCATATATACAACCTAGGAAAGTATTTTAACTTGAGGCTCCTAGGAAAAATATTGAAATAGTAAGGGCGCTTTAAACCTAAAAATTTGGGAACCACTGAATTAATCATTTATTATTATTTATATCCAATAGCAATGTTCTATATATTTACCTATTCTGAAAGTTCATTATCTCCAGCTTTAATAATAACTTCTTTCTTAACTGAAGTCTAGTTCTGTTTTAATATACACTTTTCAAAGAAACTTTTTTTCTGAAAGTTCATTCCTCATAGAATTTCAAATGAGGTATTATTATGCACCCATGACATAGGAAGGTTTTATATAAATATATAAACATTACATGCACCACTGTAATTTTTTATTATCAAAGCTGAAGATGACGGACTTTCAGAATAGGTGAATATAGAGAAAATTGCTATTGGGTATAAAAGTGTCAATAGAAGATCATCACATAGCATTAGCCCTTCGTCTTTAATTGTATTTTAAACCTTTAATGATCATTGATAATCATATCTGTTATGACCATATACTAGCATAATGATGTTGTAGACTTGCTTTGTACCTTAAGGGATTCCATTTACAAGATCCAAATATACATTGTGAGATAACTAGTTTTAGTTGATGAGATTGTTTACCTGGTTATTTTTGGTGTATAATAAAATGTTTTGTAATGTTCTGATTTTTTTTTTATATAATATCAAACTGGATCTGCTATTTGCCACAAATATTTGCAATAAATATTGGGTATCAGCTTTTAGGAGTTAAAGCATGGCTAGCTGCCAAGGAAATCTGTCTTTCTATCTGTCCTTCAGTCTATCTATCTATTTATCTATCTATCAATCTATCTACTTTGGCTGTTAGTGCACAATGGAATAAAGATATGCCACTAGAACTTCAAACAGGCCTAATCAAATCCTGAAAAATGTTCTTGTACAAGCTTAGAGTTTTAATAAAGAGCTTGCCTACCTTATAATGCAATATACAATCTTGCTGATCTTTAGCAGGTGTTTCATTTTCATTTAGAAACATTATATTCAAGATACTATTTTTGCAAACATTTTCAAAACACGACTGTGTGATTTTATTTTTTTATTTCAAAGCAGCTGTTGTTGCTCTCTCACCATAGTTACATGGAAAAAATGGCAGCATACACAAGATTATGTTTTTATGGCTGAAGGCTATATTTGGAACAGCTGAATCCTTTTTTACGTAACGCATCCTACAGATGTCTTGATTTTCTGTGCATTTTTAGATTTCTAAATCACAAATCCAAAGGGAAAGTTCCCATAAAGTTTATTTTTAAATTAAATAAGGTAACTACTGTTTCAACCAAATGAGTCAAGACCTAGCTATCTGTGTAGCCACATTGCAGTCACAAAAGATTTAGGGTTTGGTTGATAATCTGAATTAATGCCCTATTGCCCTATTCCCTAATCTACAATGTATGAGCAACACAAAATCATACAAGAAGGCAGAAGGCTATCATTTTATCTATCCAGATAAAATTACAGAGCTCCAAACATATAAAGAAGAATTTGAGATTTATATATATAAAGCTATGTCAGCCAGCCGTTTATGATTATGTTTTTCAAGACCCTGTTTGTTCTTTATCTGCCTTTGTAAAGATTATAGATGCATAAAATATTATTATACTTTAAAATGATACTTAAAAATTATACTTTACAATCCTTGGTTTAATCAATTTGCAAATAGATCAACATATTCATAAGACCTAAATATTATGACAAGTAATAAAACTATGCTAAAATATTTATAAGCTACTAAATATCAATACTTCAAACATAAAGTGCATACAAAAACAGAGTTAAATGGCTATGCACTGGCAACCATATATAATTTAAGCTTGTGCATTCATTTGTGGGCAAATTGCAGTTTATCTGAGTTTAGGTAGATCAACCTAGTTCTATAACTCTGAAGTGCAATATGGACATACAGTATACCTGAACAAATAATGTGCTCATGAGTAGTCATTCAATGTTCTGTCTATGACACCAAAAAAGGAGATGATTGATGGTTAGAGGACACACATTTAATGTTGATTTTATTCACAGATTAGTTGAGAAGTGATCAATAGTGGGACAAGAGCAAAAAAAAAATCTTTATTCATATAATCTATATTTAAAAAATACGAAACTTAAATATAGATTTACTGCTGCTACTCTTTACTAATTGTAGCTTTTGTCACTTGATCTGTGGACCAAATGGCACGAAAATGCACATATCAGTGCACAGCAAAATATACACATAATATTTATATTATATATATTTTTTGCAGTACTCTGGAAAACATAGGCCATATGTTTACACCATTTTGGTTTGTCCAAATAATTTTACAATTATTTTATATGGATGATATTTGGATGAACCACCACATGGATAAGTTATTTTTTTAAGTGATTCAGCCAAACCAAATTTTTCCACTGTGTGCAAAGTCTAGTATCATTTTCTACTTTACTACTTTGTAGTATAAAGTAAAGAATGTGATGTTTTTCACCTTTTAATCTTTAACTATTACAAAAGGCATGTACCAGGGTGATGGGTGATATCTCTTTAGAGGGCAGTAGATTACACCCACTCTTTAACAACCCAGTGTTGGAGGGAAAACCTCCTTTAGCTTTTCAATAGTAGATACAGAAAGGCATTATAGATGCCGGGATTCGGTGGCGACAAGAGATTTCAACTCCAACCCTTTAAAATTCTTGATATTCTTAAGGATCTATCCTGATGGTGAATCTTCTTTTTATTCATTTTCTTGTACTCTATCACATAAGTAGCAATGCTTGATCTCAATACTGTACTTGCATTTTATCTCACTTGCTTACCCCTCGCAACCTCACTACACATCCACATGGGAACATGAATTAGGAGAAGCCCTACAGGAGAGTGACTGAAACTGACATACAAACCATTATCTGGAAATGTATTCATAAACAGGATGCAATGTTATGCATGTAGACTGAAAAAAAGGAGATTTTGTCTTAGGCAAAAGAAAATGTGTTTTTTTACAGAAAGAACAATATGATTTCTGAATAGGTGGTTTTATCAGAGTCTGTACTGATGTTTAAGCACCAAATGGATGAATATTTGCAAAAACAAGACGCTGGTATATCCACCTTTCATGGTTAACCAAAGCTCAACCTGGCATGGTGTCTACTTGTTTTTGTGACTATGAGACAGAGGCTACATACCTAAATTTATGGTGGTCTGTCCTAGGGTGAGGCCTCTGTGGGACTCCATGTTTGCTAAATTATCACAACACTTTAATTAGATCCTTTGACCAGACCCACAAGTAGCTCTTGAGTAGAGAATATAGTCCCTGCCTTGTGTTGCTCATAAGCACATAGTCTGAGTCTGTACAGCATGGTGAATGTGTTTGGTTAAGACTTGGAAGGTTGGCCTGTCTTCACAGGCCCAGATCGACATGAAGATCTGAAACCCAAGGATTATTTCATGAAGGAACCCATGGAAGGAGATCTTTGCTCCACAGGGTTTGAATGTTAACCTTATGATGGTATAATCATCTAGGAAGGGGGGACATGCTCCTATCCTGCTTGTACTGCCTTGAGGTTTGTCTTTTCTTTTCTTTAATTTCTTTATAACTTTATCCTCTCTTTTGTCTCTTTCCTGATCACTTGCTCATTAGCCTACCCATTCCATAGCTGATGGATTACATATGTTATATATTTTACAGAACTTAGTTCAGTCCCCCTTTTTATTGTTATCTGTGGAGGTAATTTATATTTTGGGAATTGGATGGTAACTTCTATTGTACTGCTATAAAACGTCAATGAAATGTTTATTATAAAAAACAGTGCTTTTAAAAGAAGCGATTCTTTTGTTTAGAGTAAGCCTTACTGGTATGGTTTCCCCAGAAGAAAATAAATAAATAAATAAATACATTAATTAAATAAATAAAGCAAACAAATAAATAAAGCACATGCAGTAGAAACCTTCTCTTAATGTCATGCTCTCTCACTTGAGGGTCATCCTGGAGGATAGGCTGATGGGAGGAATTGGACGGCATGGAGTGTGGGACTATCACATTGGTCATCTGTCACCAGGATGCTAAATGTGTTTATAACAAAGAGACATATTTAGCATTAACCAGCCTGTAACTCTTGTATATACCCCTGCACACCAACATATCTACCCCTGATCAGTGCTTGCACACAACATATCTATCCTTGCACACACCTTGCACACACCTTGCACACACTTTATATATATATATATGTATATATATATATAAAAATATATCTATATATATAAAAAGTGTGTGCAAGGATAGATATGTGGTGTGCAAGTGATGTGTAGGGGTATATGTGTGGTGAAAGTGTGGTGTGTACAGTTTATATTTGTGGCTTTGGTATGGATATAGAAGGTATAAGTGTCCAGTGCCTGTGTTTTTTCTAAGAGTTTAAAAGCCTATTTTATTTTTGTTTTTGTCTTTTCTGTGTGCACTACTTCCCCTTGTTCCATGTGACCTCTTATCTCTCCCTAGTATTACTCTTCATACCTCCCTAAAGGCTATTTAGACTTGGTTGGAGTTCACTGAATGGCAACTTTGCAGGAGGTTCTGCTTGTAGCCAGGAAAGGAGCATGCAGTTCATATACAAACTGGTGAAGCATGCATAATTGAAGCAGTTCCACTTCTTTACCTGACTGGTGAGATTCATGGCTAAAAAGCCCGATCTTCAGAGTTCTAGCCCTAGTTTTTCATCTCTTCCTAAATTTTGCTGAAAAACTGTTATATACAGCAAACATAAACTTCAAGGAATCCATGTTTAATACTGAATAAGTGTGATTCTTTGTTGAACTCTGCAAGACCCGCTTCAGTCTGGTTTCCGGGCTAAGCATTCTGTGGAAACGGCACTGACCAAAGTATACAAAATCTTGTGGTCACTACTCTATCCTAATTCTCCTTGACCTGTCTGCGGCTTTTGACACCGTTGATCACCAACAGCTTCTTCTCATCCCACGCAATATCGGTCTACAAGATATTGCTCTCTCCTGGTGCTCCTCCTACCTCTCCCAGCGCTCTTTCAGTGTTTCTTTCTCTGGCTCTGCTTCTTCTCCCCAACTCCTCTCTGTTGGTGTCCCCCAAGGTTCAGTCCTTGGTCCCCTACTGTTCTCCATCTATACTGCCTCCCTTGGTAAACTCATTAGCTCCTTTGGCTTCCAATATCATTTCTATGCAGATGACACGCAAATCTACCTGTCCTCTCCTGATCTCTCCCCGTCCCTCTTGACTAGTGTCTCTGACTGCCTCTCTGCTGTTTCTAACTGGATGGCTGCCCACTTCCTTAAACTAAACTTGACCAAAACTGAAATTCTGTCTTTCCTCCCTCAAGTGTTGTTACTCCTGTGTCTGTCTCCCTCCAAGTCAATGGTGCTACCATCAGCTCCACCACGCAGGCTCGCTGCCTAGGTGTTCTCTTTGACTCCTACCTCTCCTTCAAGCCTCATGTTCAATCTATCGCCAAATCCTGTCATTTCCATCTCAAAAACATTGCGCGCATCCGCCCCTACTTAACGCCAGATGTGACTATGGTGTTGGTCCATTCCACTGTTCTTTCTCGCCTTGACTACTGTAATGCGCTTCTCAGTGGTCTTACGTGCTCCCAACTAGCGCCGTTACAGTCCATAATGAATGCGGCGGTGAGGCTCATCTTCCTGTCCGCCCGCACCTCCCATGCCTCACCCTTCTATCAGTCCCTACATTGGCTTCCTATAAAATATAGAGCTCAATTTAAAATTCTGGTTCTTGCTTTCAAATCTCTACATAATGCTGCTCCCACCTATCTATCCCCCCTTATACATAAGTATGTCCCGTCTAGGCCCTTACAATCTGCTGAAGACTTACAATCTGCTGAAGACTTACGTCTATCTTCTGTCCGTGCTCCCACCTCTGATGCTCGCCTTCAAGATTTCTCGAGGGCTGCACCGTTCTTGTGGAACTCGCTTCCCTCCTCCGTTAGATGCTCACCCAGTCTCCACTCCTTAAAAAAAATCATTAAAAACCCACTTCTTCATAAAAGCGTATCAATTAAACTGTTAATAGCTCCTGACTGATTCCTCTTCTGCAACTGTCATTAGTCTAATACTATCCTTACCTTTTTGTGTCATTTTACCCCACTCCCTCTAGCATGTAAGCTCATTGAGCAGGGCCTTCAACCCCTCTATTCCTGTGTGTCCACCTTGTCTGGTTACAACTACTTGTCTGTTCGTCCACCCATTATAAAGCGTGGCGGAATTTGACGGCGCTCTATACATATCATAATAATAATAATAATAACTAAGTTGTTGATTCCCGAGCAGTGGTACATCAGCGCAAATTTGAGATTTCTGTAGGAAAAGAAAGTCTTAGTGGTTGACTGGTGTGCAGAACTGTGTTTAACACATTATTTAATATATATATATATATATATGTATATACTCCACTCCTTCAAAAAAATCATTAAAAACCCACTTTATAAAATCAGTTAAACTGTTAATAGCTCCTGACTGATTCCTCTCTTGTAACTGTCATTAGTCGCATACTATCCTTACCGTTTGTGTCACTTTACCCCACTCCCTCTAACATGTAAGCTCATTGAGCAGGGCCCTCAACCCCTCTGTTCCTGTGTCCAACTTGTCTGGTTACAACTACACGTTTGTTCGTCCACCTACTGTAAAGCGCTGCAGAATTTGTTGGCGCTATATAAATAATAACATAATGATGATAATAATAATAACACTCACCTATCCACTAAACAGCAACTTCAATGTCGAAAGGTTTTTTTTTTTTGTTTTTTTTTAAACCTAATATAGGCAAAAATAATGGGGGTTTAGTTACATTATATGATCATACATTGCATAAGCCTGCCACAACGTCAATGTACCCCATCTTTGGCAGGTCCCACACTAACAGCCTAATATCTGCTCTTATGAGATTAACACAGCAGGCTTATTGCCTGGATTAGGTGTTTTTAAAAAACAAACAAATAAAATCTTTCAACATTGAAGTTGCTGTTTAGTGGATAGGTGTGTGCGCTGGATCTTGTGTATTGTATAATTTGGCCCCCAGCAGCACCCCCATTTATGCATGTTCAGGTGAGTGCAGCCATCCCCCCCTTGTTTCATTTTTATTTATATACACACACAACCACACTTATATACCACTGCATTATACACACACTGTATATACATATTGTGCTGCACACCACACATACATATATGCCTCTGCAAATCACTCACTCACACACACACATGCATCTGCATATACCCTCTTATCCCCACATAGTGATAGCATGCATATATTCTCCTACATTCAACACAACATAGAAACAATGCTCTGCATCCCTAAACACATATACACACGTATATGCATATATGTTTTTGTAAAACAAAGGGTTACATTTTAAGATTAATACATCTGATTTAAGTAAAATAGTGTAATCTATATAGATTTGAGATATTTTAAATATGACATGGCCAATTCAACTTCAAAAGATATTTCATATATTTGTTTCACAAACAAGATTTTTAATGTATTTTAAATTAAATGATAACTATTGAGTAAATCAGTGAAGGAGAAAATTGCAGATTAACTGTTATCAGACTTTTAAACCCTCACTGAAAAATATAGATTCAGAAATCAAAATTATAATTACTTATTCAAAAGGTGCAGTGTCCTACTATTTGAGGAAGGTGAAAAAGACCAGTTAAAATGTGTTGCCTCTTATAATTTAAGTTGTACTATTTCTGAATTCAATCAAATCAATATAGCATAGTTACATAGTAATATAGACTGAATAAAAGTTCTGCGTCATTCAGCCTTGTGAAGTGCACTTTCAAATATTACAAACTGCATAATTTAGCCTGTTTCATCTAAAATGTTATAAAATTGGCAAATTCTTGGTATATATGGTTAGTATATATATTTAAATTTTTTTCACAGATTGTGTGGGATTACTATAAAATAAATCCATGTTCACAACATGTCTGGTAGCATTGATATGCTTTATAGTTTACGTATCTAATTACATATTTTGTTTAAATATAATAGAATTTGTTAATGATCATTCTATATATAGAGTGATTATAATTATTATTATTGTTTGCAAAGTGTCAACTTATAATCATAGCTGTGCAATAGATTGACTAAGAAAAAAAATAGTTGCAAGAAGACACGTTGAGTGTACAGCACCTGATAGTGGTGGGATCCCTGAACAAAATGATATAATGTCACATTATATTGGTTTATGACCCTATGGGAACTGCGTCCTTCCTATTTTCCATACCAGTGCGAAGTCTTGTCAGATTTATTCAGGAGATAAAAACTTCTAAAGTAAATACGATCAGAAACCATTTTCCGCATGAAAGCTGTGTCAGACATAATGTGGGGAAGTGTGGCTAAGGCTGCATAAACATAAACAAAAGTGATTTCATTCATAAATGGCAGATACTTGGCAACTGAGACTGCAGGGGCAGGATCAATACACAAAAACTGCTAGTTATTTTGCTTTCTAGAGTATCCCTTTAAGTATTGCTATTTAATGGGAATATATTTGATTGTTTTGAATAAATACACACATTTTATAAGTCATGATGCTTTCTTTCCTATATATGACCACATAGTCAAAGTGTTTTCATAAAGACTTAGTAACTAACATCATACAAATATATGAATCCAAGCTGATTTTGTGCCCACAGTCCTGCAAGTTTATTCACAGACTTGTCCATTAGAGTAAAAAAAAAAAATAATTCCACCTCTCCCTGCAACTTTAAGGCTTCAGTCTAGAAACTTGGCTAACAGAACATAGAGAAAAATTTCCTTTCCAGTAGGTACTTATATGATCAGAAAAAGATGATCCGAAAAAAAGATGATGATCAGAAAAAGAAAATTAAATATTGTTTTCTTGAATTTTTCTCACATATTGGTTGATCATAATATTCGATCAATAATATTCTCTGAATTTTTGCCAGTAATGTCTGACTGTTATTATTATGATCACAACACAGAAGTAATTGACCACTTTCCTGCTGATAATTCCACAAAAGACAGAGAACTCTACTGATAAAAATTTGTAACATTAAACGAGTAGGACTTGGGAATAATTATAGATAACATACTAGACAACAGTATGTAATGCCAGTCTGACATTGCAAAGGCTAGTAAAGTGCTTTCATGTGTAAAAGTGAGTATTGATTCACATGAACAAAATATAATTTTGCCTCTTTATGAATCAATTGTCAGACCGCCACCTTGAATATGCTGTGCAGTTTTGGTCACCAGTTTTAAAGAAGGATATCGCAGAAATAGA